CACAAAATGTAAATTTCTTGTGAGAAGAAAAAATCCATTCTCCCCAAAAGTTTAGCATAGTTATAAGTAGCCACACGTGAAAAAGTGTCATGGGAAAAGAGTGGTGAATTTCCCTGCCTTTAATTTCATCAGGCACAATGTTTCCACTCATTGATATGTTCAAGTAACTATACATCAAAGCCAAAAACTTGGCAATGACCAAAGCTTCATAACATTCTTTGACTGACTCCAAAAAGGTGAAAAACTCTTTGCTTCCTCTAATATCCAAGAGACCCACAAAGGAGACAGTTGCATAAAGGGGAGCCATGAGAATGATGATGATAATAGCCTTTTGCTCTTTTGGATTCTTCCAATAGAAGAGATGATGAGACAATAACTGCGATGTGAAATGCATGGAAAGCATAACACAAAACGCGGATCCCAGCACGGTAATCTGTGCGGGATTGAGCGTGCTTAGATCTATCATTTTTCACAACACTCTGTCTGAGATGAAAGCCTAATAATTTCAGAACCTGCAAAAGGAAATTTGGAAAACTAAAGGATCAAGCAATACCCTCAAAGAGAAAACTAAAATTAAATTAAATTCATAATAATAAAAGGTCACTGTAATTCGCAGTAAGACCAAAAAATGTTTGCTTCATATAATAACAACCTAGTTCCTCTCGAAATTCACATAAACAAGGACCACTTCGCTTTCGAAAAGACGAGTTTCAGGTTCGGCGAACAACTAAAGCAAACTTGAATTATGAAAAAAATCCAAAGGGAATAATAGAAAGAAGTTGAAAACAGAAAGCACGAAAAACACCTTACTTAACGCGATTCAACAAATGGCATCTGAGGCGATGAAAGGAAGGGTTTACGATAGTATAAAGAAATTATTGAGACACGTGGCAGAAATTATCATATTGTTTATTGTATTGTGTCACAGTGTGTCAGCCATGGCGTGCGTTTATTAGTTCTTAGGGCGATTCGTCGTCAAACTGGACGAAGGCACCAGAAATTCAATTTGAATACGACATTAGGAAATTTAAACATTTTGAGTTTCTATTAGGATTTCCTTTTCTTTCTTTGATTTCTGTGTCAAATTTTATTCAACTATTACTTACAGTAGATTATATTCATAACAGTACTCAAGCAAGAATAAATTATCAAGTGATAAACTAAGGAGTAATATGA